AGATTTCAGGTATAGGAGTGCATCAGCTGCAGAGTCTGTGTCAAACCCACCTGGGCCTCTTTGCTCTGATGAGCAACGTAAAAATCTTTTCAATAAAAGAGTTATTTTGTCATAAAAGTGTTTATTATGTTTGTTTTTATATTTTGAATATCAATATGTTTGTGTTTTTGTATAAACACTGTTTCAATATGTGAGATTTGATACGATAACAAAGCTTTTCATTATGTTTAAATACTCTATCAAAGAAAAGCCAGTGGGGGCACATTCAGTACTAAGAGAATATAATGACATGTTATATAAAGAGTGAGTGAGGAGGTACCGCGTTAGAGCCTCCATGACGTCCTGTTCTGAGGACGGTCACTATGGTAGTGTAGAGCAAGAAGAGGATTCCTGGGTTGACATAAACTGGCCAATCATGACTGCCGTTCAGATTGAGGTCATAGGGCAGGCTGCAGTTTCCTGGTATGATGATGTCCTTCAGACCAAAGAGTCTAGGCAGAAAAAAAGAGAAAGAAATCGAGGAATACACCTGTGTTCATTGATTTACTGACACTGTTGTGACCAAGTGTCAGGATCTAGAGCATGATCAGCTGTGATCAGTGAACATTTGGCACCATAGCAAAGCTGTAGTCGTAGCCACAATGCTAAAGTACAATTAGCATCAGTCAACTCAGTCAAGTTTGCAAGTGAAGTATTTCAGATGTTCAGATGTTTTAACTTTGATGATTACAGCTTATAGCTCACTAAAATCATACATGCAGCTTCTGGTTTAGCGTGAGCAGCCACCACATGCTACATGGTTAGAATGGCCCAAGTTCAAGTCCGACCCTTGACCTCTCCTCTTGACAGCAACAATAGATTCCCTGCAGGGTTCTTGGTGGTTTTCTTGACTGTCGTCTCAGGAGTCTCACTTCCAGTCAACTTTCCATTGATATGCTTTGTTCCAGCGATGTGCGTCTGCGGCTCTGCGAGTCACAATCTCAACAATCCAACGAGCGGTCTTTCCTACGATTGTGTTTGTGTGCGCTGAACAAGCAGGAACTCAAAATGTGTCCTGAACATGGAATAACCTTTTTGAATTAAATGACAAAAGAAGAAAGCTTTTGGTGGGATACACTAGTACACATTTTTTGGGGGGTTGTTTGTTTGTTTTGGGGTTTTACGTTGGAAACATGTCTTTCATCACTAATAAAATAAGTACAAGTACGTTGGGTCACAGATTTGCACGACCTGTGTTACATGCAGTTTCACCGTCCACGTTACAGACACACTTCAGTCATGTGCAACAGCTGTGCCTTCATCACAATTCCTAGACAGTTCACTTTCCTATAAATCCCACATCAGTAATCTCACCCGTTCTGCCTACTTCCATCTACGTAACATTAACAGATTGCTCCTTCTCTTTCCACCCAGTCTACGTCCATTCTCGTCCACAGTCGTGTTACCTCCCGTATTGACTACTGCAATTCTCTTCTGCATGGTCTCCCCCAAAAATCCCTCCATAAGCTTCAACTGGTTCAGAACTCTGCTGCTCGCATTATCACCAGAACCCCTCCTACCAGCACATCACCTGTTCTTCAAGAACTTCACTGGCTCCCTGTGAAACTCCTGATAATATTCAAACTTCTTCTGCTCACCTTCAAGGCCCTTCATAACCTCGCTCCTCCTTACCTTTCTGACCTGTTAACCACCACCTGTTCTGCCCGTTCACTTCGTTCTTCTTCTTCTATCCAGCTTGCTGTACCTTCCTTCTGCCTCACCACCATGGGAAGCAGAGCTTTCAGCTGCTCTGCCCCCAGAGCTTTATCCTATTGTAAAGTGTCCTTGGGTGACTTGAAAGGCGCTCATAAATAAAATTTATTATTATTATTATTATTATTCTAATAGTCTTTTTACACAGCTCAGAGTTGAACTCATCTTCAGGCTCATGTTGATGAAACAAACATGTTCCAACGTGATCAAATAAAGTGTGAAGCTTAAGATCAGCTGACACCTGGGACATGGCACAGCAATATCAAAAGAGTTATTTTAAAGTACTGATAATAATAATCATACATCTACATTAACAGACTGGCAATCATCAGCCGACCTTAGACAATGAAAAGTACGGGAATAAAAAGCACAACACAGATTTCAATTATTTATCATATTTACTTGTTTTGCAAAGAATCGCTGTTGAACCTTTGACTGTTTTCCCGTCAGCTTCACTAAAGAGACGCAGATTTATGACAGTGGAGTATAAACATACTCCACTGTAAACGTCGACGGGGCTGACTGATGAACAGCTGGCTAAGTGATACCGACACAGAAACCTGCCAAGAGGGCCGTGACGTCACGAGGAAGAAACCGAGAAGACGAGCGATCGTAAATCCCAGCGGAGGCTCATTCCACTCATGCCTCTCATGCCAGCACAGTCACACTGCGCTCGTTTCGTTTCTTCTCAGTAAGCTTGAATAGTTGACCCGCCTTTTGGTGCGAAGAGAAATTTCACAGCCACAGATGGATACATGTGTGCTGATACAATTAAGGAGGGTTTACAGGCATGAAGGCGCAGCAAGCTACATTTTTATTGTTGTAGGCTGAATTATATGTGTTTAAATACTCTCACAGTCGATCTTTATTACTCAAACGTTAAAACCAACCGAAACAGGTCCGTTTGTTGGACAACGGCAAGATTTTTTCTGTAAAT